ATTCGTGAATAGCATTCGAGCTTTCGAGCCCTTAATTTAATTATGCTTTAAAATTTAAAACGAAAAGAGAAACACACATACACACGCAACTCTTATGTTTATTCTATAAATTATATTTAATGGTAATTTCATTGTGAGTAAAATAAAAAACAAAAAAACACCGTTTATGATGAAACAAAAATACAAAAATTGAAACGTTTTATTATCACAATTACAACTGTTCAGTTTATCATGGTTTATATCCCCATTCAAGTTCCAACCAATTGGCTTCAATAGAAGGCTGCGATGATAACAAATCTGAAATCAAAATTCATATTAATATGGCATAAAGTTAATAGATAGCATACTATATATAGTATATATAACATGCATATACATCTCTATAAATATATATAACTAACCTATAACCATTCCAACAAAACCAGTAAAAGAAAGCCGAAAGATAGCGCAAAGCTTGAGGCATTTTATACGGCGCATTTTTTATATAAACAGGCTAGCTGTCTATGATATAAACCTATATAACATATGTATATATACATATATATATAATTATACATACCCAAGAATGATCAACTTTTATATGAGCCAGTAAGTAAACGGACATATTTTTTTATTAGCCTTGGCAAGCTGCTCTTTTTCCAGGCCGAACATTTTAACGAAATTAACAATTACCGAAATTCACAAATATAATACATTTAAAATTAAAAACTAAAATAAAACGAAATCGAAAACGAAATTAAAACCAAATGCAAAAATAAATAAGAAAGCAACAAATAGTAATCCCAAAAGAAAATAAATTCAAACAGTAGATCTTTCCATTGTAGAATTGAAATGTATGTAAAACTATATAGATTTTTACTTGAAAATTGTTCTCGATGGGCAAATATCGATAGGCATGTGCTATGTTACAATAACATTACAGCAACAACAACAACAACAACAACAGCAAACTTGTAGAAAAACAACAACAATGTTAATGATAATCCCTCACATAATACTGTATATACAGAATACTCGTATAAGGCATTTGTTTGCGATTTGGTAGTAAGTGAAAGGGACGATTGCACATTTAGAAAATATATTTCAAATTTTACAAAACAACAAACAAAAGATATATATTATATGAATCTATTAGATTTTGATCTTGTATCGGGCTAAGATCTTATAGATCTGGACCCAGTTGTAAAGCAACAATTAAAACAACAAATTAAAAAAAATAAAAATATAAATCCATTTGTTTTTTCTTAGCTATTTGTTGATATATATATATATATATTTTTTTTTTTTTTTGTAATGTATAGCCTTTGATAGCTCGTGATTAGTCCTAACACTTACTCCAAATGCAAATTTGGAGCACTTTCGACCAATGCTAAAACTGTACTACTTAAGGTTGGTTAATGTTTTAGTTTCCTTTTGAATGCCCCGTTAATGCCACAACAGCACCCAAGAAACCAACTCGAATTCAATTAAATGAAATGGAAAACATGAAACCTAATTAGCTACTCGTATGTACATAGGTGTACGAACATAACTAAAGATGAACAATTGTAAAACTAAATACTTCTACATATTTAATAAAAAGAAACATTAAAAAATAAAAATACAAGAGTTCTTATTTTAACAAGCAATTTGTAAATTATAAAGGAACTTACATCATGATACACCCAATTAAGTCGTTTAATAAAAATCAAAGGCATGGCGAAATTTATTATTAGCAATTTTATTTAATATAATTACTTTTTATTGTTAATACTGTATGTTTTATGAATGATCCAAATGAATCGTAGCTTAAAACTCTTGTCATGACAAGCCGACATAAGAGACATCTCCACTTGAATGAATCTGCGAATAATCAATAATCAATATCATATACATATATAGAAAGGTTACGACATTTTTCCATTTAACAAGGATATTTTTGCAAGGATAGTGTTTAATACTTTGTCCGTAGCTATAACGCGTATTTTACAATTAAATAAAAAGCAACCTTAAAGCTAGAGTTCTTATTCTAGGTAGCCTAATTCACGTAGAACTGGTCAACAGGAACGTTCTTAAGCAGCTGGTTAGCCAACTTTCCGAATTCATTGGCCAACTTCTTTTGGAGCTGCGCCTGCATGGCCTCCAGCACAATTTGCGAGTTGTCGCGCAGGAAGAGATTGGTGGCCTCCACTAAGGAGATGGAAGAATACAGTCAATTAAGAGGCAGATAAGGACCGCTTTTGTACTTACATAAGATGCGATTGTTGTTGAAGGCGCGCGAGATGCTCATATTGACCTTGTCCACATCCAAGACCAGACTCAGCGAATCCACATGCAAGTACTTACCGCGCAAGGACGTCTTGCCGGTCAGTTCGGCATTGACGCCATCAAATGTGGCATGGAATTCGCCACCGCCGGAGGCGGGTATGATCAGCAGCACACCGGAGCTGGTGTACTTTGCCTCGATCTTCAGCTTGGGCATGAAAATGGTTGCCTTGAACGGCTCACCGCCGTTCTCGCCGAGCTTCAGCGACTTGACCTGATAGTTGCTGGCACCGAAGGCTTCCATGTTCTTGAGCGTAATCTTATAGCCTTGCGGTCCCTCGGTCAGCTGCAGAGCCAGCGAATCCATCTTGAAAGGCTCCACGGAAGGCAGCTAAATMAATAAAGATCGAGACGAAAATGGAGTCTAGTTTGGGCAACTCGATGGCAAATCAAGTTAGACAATTTCCGCAATTGAGTGGCTGCTGCCACATGCCACGCGCGACGTGCGGCGGACGAGGCGTTGCGCAAGAGCCGCATTTGGCATTTGCCATTTGGTTTGGGTCTTATGCAAGCTCAACCCGTTTGGCAATGCAAATAGGCATGAAAGGGTTACCCACCTCGATCTCTGGTATGCCGCTGGCCAGATAGGGTCTCAGGTGCTCCAGTCCAGCGCTGATACAATCGCCGAGCTTGGGATCGTCGCGACGGCATTGTTTGATGTACGCGGCTATTGGGTAAACAAGAAGAAGAACCGGAAAAATATTTATCACTTAGTCGTTTAAACAAAAGCATCAGTTTTGCTTTCAATTCCTGTAAAGTTCAGTGAACTAAAGTCGGTCAACAAATATTCAAGCTCAGGCCCGGCCAAGAGCAAGCGCGATCTCTGGCAAGGTCGCCCGCAACAAGGTCATACAAATGCAACGCTCAAGAACCTGTCTGAAATCACCTAGAGTGCGCCTTATGGCTTACAATTCTGTTGCATGGCCGTCACAGATCGAAGCTATATAATTAAGTAAGCCTTACATATATATTATAAATATATCTATATACATTTATATGCCGATCATTAGCGCCGCTACTGCAGCTCAGCACTGAATTCAAGTTGAAGGCTGTTCAACGGAAACTCAAATAAAGTGAAGTCTTTAGCTGCGCTCATTAACTATGGATTTGGTTCAAGTTAGCATTTTCAATGCGTCTTTTATGGATGCGGAAGTTTCGGCTTTGTCTATGTTTTGTTTTGTTTCAATCGGCTTTGTACCCATGCCCGAGTTAGAGATCTGCTTTAATTTGATAAACTGTGTCAGCCACTGCAAATTATGTATATTATGTCTTTAATAGATAACGCATCACTCGACATTTATAATGATTTAAATATCCATAATGAATTATAACTGTTAATTGCGAAAATCGTATTCTGAGGTATGTGCACTTACAGCCCAGTCATCAATTAAACTTACTAATTAACTGTTGCTTACTTCATTTTATAGACGCTAAGTAAAGCTGACAACGTAGGCAAATATTCAGATTACATAGCTGTACTCCTTGGGGGCTTTTATGTGGATTTTGTAATCAAATGAATTACCAGGCAAATAAAAAAGTTGCAAATATATATAAATATATGTATCTGTCAATTAACTCGAATGGGGAACTGCACAGTGTTTTGGCTAACCCTTGCTCCATTAGAAGTCAAAGTTCTGCTAATTAAAGATAAATACTAAATAACAATTCACACTTTTATACGAGCATTTTTGCTATTGAGAAATGATATAGGTATGACGCATGCTGTTTACAGGTTGTTCAGGCAATTAGGCAATTATTGAGATAGACAACCGGAGATTCATTTCCATTTCAGGCGAAATTTCCTTTACATGTCCTTAACTAACGCTACTCCATAGAAGACATCATACACACACACACTTTGATGATGATCGAACTTACGCGTCTCGGCCTGTGAGAAAGCGATCAACTGAGCAACAGCTGCTACAATGCACAAGTATCTGAGCATATTTATGTGTTTGTTATTCAGTCGAAGATAGATACGATTAGCACGTTACACCACTCAGCGCTGCACACTCGAACTATATCAATAATTATGAATCTCGACTCTTGGTGGACGTCCAACTACGCGCAGCTGCGAACGATAACTGTGAGCGTTGCCAAAGTTGCGGCTGGATTTTAAAGCCCCCTTCGAAGAGGAGGCGACTGAATACAAAGCCCAGCTCCGAGTTGAGCTCACAGTGGACGTCGACGTCGACGTCGACGTTGACGCCGACTCACTGACTGACTGACTGAGTGACTGACTGAATGACTATGTGAGTTGCCGACTGCTAGGTGGTGTTTAGTAAATGTGTCTAAAGGTCTCTTTTCCGCCTCACTCTTCAGCTGAAATCTTCGCCGCAGTGTCTGCCCGAAATATTGCTATTGTACTCAGCGTAAATGGACGCAATGGGGTATATTGGCTAACAGCGTCGAAAGATATTACTCATCTATGAATAGCATCTTTAAAAAGTCGGTAGGTAAAGCAGAACAAATTGTTATTGTTGTTTGCTGTACAATAATAAATTGGGCTAAAGGGTATCTAGCGATCGTGCAGCAAGGCTGGATTCTATTTACCTTGCCTGCTTATTTACCAAGTGCCACAAAGAGCAATAAAGATTTTCAGTTTTCGCAATGGGCTGTAAATTTTTGCTTAGCTCGCTTAGAATAAAACATTAATTTTTTTTTTGTTGTTATTAATTTTTGAAATGTGCTCAAATGCACATCATTATGGACCTAAGAATATTTTTCGTTGCAAACGTACGTACACTAGAGAGGGAAATCTCAGTCACGGCTCAACAGGCTTTCAGCAATTGACAAACTGCACAGCAGAACAGCCTTCCCCATAAGCCACTGACCTCTGCACAACTAGCCACAATAACTAATTGATATCTATAATTTGTAAACTCTCGACATCTTTCCACCATTTCTGTGCCAAAGTCGTATATACAAGACTTTTGAATACAATAGAAGCGCAGATTCAATAACACATTTAAGTACCATTAATTCTCTATATATTATACAATAATTGGCGCTCGCCATGTGCAGATAAAAATAGTTGATTCTCTGACGTCAAAACTAGTTCTGATCCATATCAAATCTATATTATATAGTTTATAAGTTTATGGAGCTACTAAGACTGTAGCGAAACTTGCTTGGTATAACCTTTTCGAAGCTGTTCCAGTCGAGACCCCATTCGCATCGACTCTCTGATATATACGGGACTCAAGTAGGCTAACTTTGCACTCTCTGATCTTTGACTGTCTCTGATCTTAAACTGTTTACAATGGCCCTGACAAATACAGATTGGGGAAGTGCCAATGCATACGCATACAAAGGCCCCAGTCGATTCTAGCACATAATAAATGTGAGCTTGTTTACGAGTGCCCGTGCCGCACAATACGCATACCAATATGGCTTATGACAATAGTGGGAAATACTTAAAGAGGAGCCAGAGCAAATAGATAAATAGTAAATGGTACAGGAAAACGTTTCTCACACCATTGTCTCAAGTACTCGCATTGTTATTTAAATAATTAGACGGCTTTGTTCTCGGCACATCAGAGGACTACATATATGTACATAAGTATTTCCATCAGCACTCCCAGAATAATGCTTCCAAGAAATCACCAAAAGTATCCACTTAATTATAACCAGAATAAAGCGTAAACAGTGGAGTCAGCTAAGTATTGTAGACTTTTAAAGTTATTCATAACTTAAAGGAACGAGTTCCAGAAAACTGGAATTTTATAGGCTGCAATTAACTAAAAAAAATTGATTTAATTAGCTATCTATAGAAACTTGTTTCGAAGCGTGGAAGCGTTAGGATAAATAAGTTCTCAGCTCAGTAGACGATTCTTATTAATTGAATCAACGCATATTCGCAAAATATTATAAGCAAGAATGTCAAGGAAGTGCAAGTTTCAAGGTCATCATATGCGTTCGCATTTGAAGTTAGTTTATTCTAGTTAATATATGTATTTAGATAAATATATTTGCTAACCCATTTCTTTACTTTGGCAGAAGAGACTTCAGCAACTGCGACTAGACAGTCTACAGGGAAACTTCCAACAACAACAATGTAAACGAAACGCAATGAGCACAATGAACAATAAAAATAACCTTGACCGTAACCATCAAAACCTGTAAGCTGCCATGTGCAGTGGGACTAATATGTATGCCGCGACTGTATCGGCTGATGACTTTTTTAGGCGCGCTCGAAAGTATGCAACGGATTTTTAATTTGGTAGTACGATATAAAAAGCGAGCTCATACAGTATATTACTTTCTTCATCGTGATTTTAATTGTATATATACATTTATTCACAAATATTATATAATACAATAACAAATGAAACACACTTCATAATATAAGAGCAGCAATTGTGTAATTAAAATGCACCTCACACGCTTTGGGCATTGTTTGCATAAAGTTCTTGAAGTTCTTTATAGCCTTTTCAAATTACAATTCTCTGGATGGGGGCGTGTCAAAGGAATTCGCCATAAATAAGTGTGATTGATGGCTTTCCAAGCAACAGCATAATTTGTTGTATTCAATGAAAGAGCCTTTTGCTTGCTCTTATTGTTCGCATGCAAATGCATGGAGCGTGTGCAATGCGAACGGAATACGGCGAGTGGCGAATGGCAAATGCCAGCACTTGACCTTTCAGAGAGGCACTCTTTGAGCCAGTCTAATTGCTCACCTGCTTGGCCACAAAGAGGCACAAATTGCCACCTATTCATAAGGCATAAAAATAGTTTCCGACCGCAGAGATGATATAGAAACTATGCTGCATGCACGGCACGCAGGACTAAGCACAGCTAATCCCTGGGCTAATGAAGCTCATGATTCACGGTACGGATCATTACGCTGATTTAAAACGCCAGACCACACCAAGCCTCGCGAGGCCAGGCCAAGTCAAAGACCGAACAGCTCACGGCATGAACTTAACCTTCAAGTCGCGGACCCAAACCCAAGCCCAAGCCCAAGCCCAAGCCCTGCACACTGTTGCATGTGCTGGGCGGTAGGTGTGGCCCCATTTAGTGGCCTTTGTTCGCTGCTGAAATGCACTTTGCGTACGCCTTCGGCTCTGCTTTCGACTCGACTCATTTCTTTTAGCCGCCATGCTGGCTGGCTGACTGGCTGGTTGCGTTTTTTGGTTAAATGGCTTGGTCCAATGCAGTGCTGGCTCATTCCTCGCTCAAGTCGCGTGAAAGTTGGACGGCAGTCGGCGCAAAGAAAGCAAACCAGCAGCAACCTTCAGAAGAAAGCAATTCATTCACTTCGGTTTCAATTCTGTTTTTATCGTCAGCCAGCGAGAAAGAACAAACAAAATAACTCGAAACGCAGCGAACTGGTCCGCTTTGACCCACATACGAGCGGAGCCCGCTAGAATTTCGAGGGCAGAGTGAAATTTATATACACTGTATGTTCCATTTTGTGTGCGTGTGTGCTATTGTGTGTGTGCGCTGAAATTTCAGATCTTCTGAAACGCTTTCGCTCTTACGCATAGACGAACGGCCACAGACGGACAGAAATTAGCATATGAAACATGAAAGAAACGTGCTAATAAATTATGAAACCCAACTAAAAGTGAAACAACACTCATAACTATTTATTTTTACTTGTACTTTCATGCAGACCGACCAAACACCCGACAGCAACAGCAACAACAACAACAATGTGCCACAAATTTGGAATAGTATTGCTGCTGTCCACAGTGGGCGCCATTTGGGCCCAGCAACAGCGTGAGTATTGCCAAATATCGAATTCCAATAGATAAGGAACTCGCAAGAAATCGAGCTTTCTATCGGCGCTTTCCAGTCCTTAAAGAGGGGCCCAAGCTATGCTGGCGATCACGTCGCTTATAACTTGGCTTAAACGACGCTCAACTCGGTTTTAATTGCACGCACAAAACGTGCGCAGCCACATCGAAAGTTAGCGCCAGACATGGAGCTGACATTTCCAAGAATTATTCAACTACCAGTAAAAATCCCCTAAAGGCAAAGGGCATATGACAGACCCATTCAAATTGCTAAATATAATTTAATCGCAGCTGAGATCAAGATTTTTTGAGAGCGCACTTAATAAACCACAGCTATAAAACGAAGCTGTTTTTAGAAAGCCATATAAATGTTATTCTTAGAATTAAACTCCAATAAGACGTGCCATGCCTTATATTCGCAAATATTTATATATGTGAATTTATATATGAATATGCAGATATGTATATCCGTATATACTAGATAAGCATTGTTCTCATGGATTCTGCCTAACTAGTAGTTCCGTTCGTAATATTTCTTCTAGATTTGTGCAAGAAAGTACATTTTAAAGAATTTTACTACTGTCCAATCTTAACTCATCTACTAGCATATCAAACTATCAGGATATTAGCAAGCATACAAATCGAAAAGCACAGACTGTAGAAGCTACCGAGATATATTTCATCTGACTAGTTGTAAACAGTTAATGATTTATGAAGATGTTAAACGATGATAAACAAATCATCTGAAGCTAGGTAAGAGTATTAGATAATGCTCTAGCAGCGATTAGTCTAATTTAAATACTCGGTAGCTCTGAAGCCAATGCTTCATGTATTTGAGTTCATGCCCCATCTGGATAGGCAATATAGACACACAGTTATACCCTAGACGTTAATGAAACCCACCAATAAAGCTGTCACATCAAGTCTGTCCGAGGCATGTGGCCAGGCAATAACAAGTTGATTACTAAGCATGCTCACGCCTTTACCTGGGATTGATCTTATCCGCCGGTGTGGATCGGCACTGCGCGAACTTGAACTAAGCGCATTTGCGAGCCGTGCTGCAATTATTTCGCTTCACTCGGATGCACAATGTTTATAGTTTCAGCTTGAAGAAAAACGCATTAAAAAACAAAATAAAATACAGAAAACAAAAGACAATTAACAAAAGTTGATAACCTAAGAAACAAGCGGGCAAGAAACTACATTGAACTGGGAAGCGTTTCACAGTTGCAGCTGGTCACACTGTCCTGCTCAGTATTACCCTCTCTCTCACTCTTGCTTCCTGAATTGTGATACTCACCCTCTCTTTCTCTTCGAATTGTTTATGATCTCTCTCTCTCTCTCTCTCTCTTTCTCTCTGCATTTCCTACAGCCTACTATCTGCAGCAATGCCCACGCGACGAGGCAGTTATCAATGAGTGTCTACGTGACAGCGGCAACAAATTGGTGCATTATCTACAGAAGGGCATACCCGAATTGGATATTTACGAGGTAAGCTCCGAGTCGACTACCAATAAACTAAATATCTAGTCATTCTCTTTCTCTCTCCCACACGTTCTCTTCTAGATTGAGCCCGTGATTATCGATGAGATTGGCATTGTGCTGGGCAGCGGCCCGGATGGCTATCGTGCACTCTTCCGCAATATCCAAGCCTTTGGCGTTAGCAATATAACTGTTACAAATGTCCGGTAGGTATACATTCCTCATCCCAGAATAGATACTTTTTATTGGCTCCCTTACCTTAGAGTTTTCTCTCGCTGCGATCGTCATATGTTGCTCAGTGAGTCAGTTATTTGGAGAATACGACACATTATGTGGTTAGGTTTAAAGTGGGGTCACGTTTAACATACTTGCACTGTGATCAGTACGTATTAGCGCTTTTTGCTATTGCTTTGACCCTGACTAACGCGATATTTAAGCAATGTACTCCACTGTGATACTCTATTGCAGAAGAGAACAACAACAATTTTAGTAGAAGCCTCAGTTGAGTTTCTCCATGCAAACACATTTTTCCCTTTCTTAAGCACACTTCTTGATCAATTTAAATTTCATAAATTACAAATTAGAGTCAGAGTATTTAACAGTTGCGTATCACAAATATTGTTTTCTTTCCGTCTTAAAATATTCGCATCGTTTTTCATTTGCTCAGTCGGACATTCTGAGCATTTGCCTGACACGCGATCACAACTAAGAAGTATTTTAATGAATGCAATTTGTATACTCCTTCACGAAGAGAAGTGAGCATATTGATTTTGGTAGCCTTCCTCCTTTTCAAATGAATAATTCAAAATTTTCAAAATATACTTGCATTATAAGGTTAAGATTTTCGAAAAGCTTCATGGGGTGTACCTTAAAACTTATTATGATATTGAACCTAAAGACTTGGAACTGATAAAGCCTAAGCAAAAAAATTGGGCAGATTAGGAGCTCGTAAGAAAATATATAACTCAGTATTCGGTGCTGCGAATCTCGCACCATAAACATTGTCATATATGGTCTGCCGATCAACAAATAATTAACATATTGAATCAATTTAGTTACCTTTGCGCCTTCAACAAGTATTGTGCGGTCAGTTTCGCTCGATTGCAACGTGCACTCGTAATTGCGGTCTGAAAAGCTGTTTGCTAGAATTATGAGTAAGCCCCCTATGGATTTTGAGTGTCTTTGGTTCATATCTTCATTCTCTACATCTCTTAAATGCATCTTTCTTTTGGCAGAGGGAGATTGATTTCCTATAATCGTTTGCATTTTCTGGACTTTTCATAGCGCGCAATTGCCATATATAATGGGGCTTGGTTCAATATTCACTGCAAATGGGAAATCGATATAAATATAGATCATAAATTACCGTTGAGGTAAGTTCTACTGAAGCGCACGTTGGTGGGCAATTAGTGGAACTGTCGATTGGGGCAATAACCGTTGAATATTAATGGAATATGAATGTGTCAAGCTCTGAGTAAGTGTTTAGTGAGAATTTTCATAATTGGGATTAAGCTCAATTATATTTAAGTAGTGAATCAAGCCCCCAAACGAAATCCCATTACATGTCAACTATTTTTTATGGCAGTAATCGAAAAGATAAAAACAATTTGGGCTATCTACATATGTGTGACGCCCGCTCGAAACCAACCTCGACTCTAAGATTATGCAACATTAAATCCTTGACCTAGCCGCAAGCAATAGATTGAACAATTTGCTCCAAGCACACACGACAATATTCCGTTAACAAGTGCTGCTTATACAAGCAAGAACTTGTGCATTCGGTTAGACGAAGTATTGATGCCCTCACTGAAGAGAAACTACTCGTGCACGATTTTCATAGCCCCAGGATTAATTTAGCTCTTAATTGTATATGACTTAAAGGCTTGATTTTATTAGCGGTCCTTTAAGTGTGGTCATGGATATAATAACATTTGTATGGATGGGCCAGGTTATTTTAAATGAAATAAAAAGTTCTGTGCGCCTCACAACTCAAAATTAAATTGATATACCCTTAGCAAAGCACTTCGAATCATTTACATAGCTCGAAGCAGCGAATCATCTAAAGAGCTTCGAGTGCAAAAGCGGGCGATAGCCAAGCAAATGTGGGTCAAAGCGATTCTCTATGTCAACAATTTGTTTAGTAGTCTCTTGTAGTATCGGCCAACCAAGTTGCCAACAGCCGGTTTCATTTGCAATTCACTTTTGGAATTCGATTTTGGATACAACATGGGGTTGCAGCTTGCCAAATTACACTAAGCGAAATGAGGGGGAAGAACAGAATTAATAGTAAACTGAACCAGAGAACTTCATCTCAGAAAATTGGAGCTATTCCAAAGTATTCCACATCTTAGATCACATTTTAAAAAGTGTTCTTCTTAAATATTTTTTCAACTGTAGCTAATATTTCCTATCTCAGCTTGATCTAGAACGAGCAGCTGAATATTTCTCAGAGAATACAGGTTTTTTTTTGTGTAACTTGCACCAGTTTCGTCGTCGCGAGTCTGTCAATTGTCGGCTGTGCCAGAATCGAAGGTCGAGGTGGAGTTAGCTGCCACACACGACTGCGACATTGAATTAAGATTTAGAAGCTCAACAATGACAAAAAATGCCAATGCATTAGCACATCCAGCAATGAAATAGCAGTTTTGTATCTATCTAGCCGTAGCTTGAACTCATATATCATCATTGTGTCATTATCACTGTCATTGTCATCCGTCACTTGCAGCTCCGACTTGGATTCGCTGCAGTTCCAGCTGACATGTGAAATACCCCGCATACGCGTCAAGGCTCAATATCGATCCACAGGTGTTCTGATCTTGGTAAAGGCCTCCGGTGCTGGCGACTACTGGGGCGAATACGGTGAGTAGAGCAGCATTGACTACCAAATAATCCTTTAAAATGACTTCCACCTTAAAGAGGGTGTCAAGGCCAAGATCTACTTCAAGGCTTTGGCCAATGAGGCCGCCGATGGACGCACATATCTGACCACCGACTCGGTCAAAATGGACTTCAATGTCAAGGAAATACAGATGGGCGTAGATAACATTGCCAACGGCAACACAGTTATACGTGAGTAAACCTCATTTAATTTGCCAATAGATTCAGTTCAAAATTATTTACCCACTGCAGAGGCCGCTCTCAATCTGTTCATCAACTCGAACTCCCAGGAGCTGCTCAAGGAAATGAAGCCGGCGCTTCGCACCAAGCTGACTCTCGTCATACGCAACTTTATGGATCGCCTGTTCGCTAAAATACCGCTAGATGAATGGATCAATTTAAATTAGTTAGTTCTTTTCAATTTAGCGTCCGAAGAGTACTATATAATAGCTAAGCATTAATTTATTGCACACAAACTCACCCAAGAAAAAAATAAACGATCTAATAAACAACTATACGAAATATACGAATGTAAATCTAAAACATGTGAATACTTTATTTGTGTCAAAAATTATATGAATTCGCTGGTTATTTAATTTCCGCTATAAAATGTGGCTTCTGCTTTAATACTGTTTCAGCATTATATAACTGTGATCACAGGTTAAGAGTTGGCTCGCTATTGTCATTAGGTCGCCGGCAATGGGAGGGTCGATATGAAAATTGAAGGTCTCGACATTATGAATGAATGCAAAACTGTGAAATGAAATTAAATAACATGAAAATATGCCATCAAAAGAATGTGTTACGTTGGTAGCTGACGACAAAGAAAAATCTTAGTCACAATACGTGAATATATTTCTTTCTCACCTATTTAGATCGATTACAAAGCGAAACATCGAAAATGTTGCCAGAAGTCAAGGAAAGATAGAGCAATGTCTTATATTTTGGATCATTTTTTATTCTTTCTCAAAAAGTCAAGTGTTTTCTTGAAATATCATAACTTAGTATGTGTAAGACCAGTGCGCTTATTACTTAAACAGCTTTAGCTTTCTTTAAGAATGCAACTCGCACTTGAATTATTGAACTCGAACGCCTAAACAGCTTTTCCTTAACGTTTCATATGTATAATCTAATTATAATAACTCGTCCATTTGCGTGTGCTTGAACAATTTTTTAGCCATAACAGACGCCATGGGACGCCCATCAGTTGTCGCAGTGAACCATGTCAGCCGTAACCGTACCCGTAGTCACAGTCTTGCCTTCCGAGCTCCAGTCAAATTATATAATATTCCGATGACAGGCGATGCAATTTCTAAAACAAAGCTCGACGGATTGTCAACACGACTCGAGGGCCCCTGTTTAAAAATTTTCTAAATTAAGTGCCTTGAAAGAGAGAGAAACAAAAAATCAACAACATTAATGAAAGTAATCGAACAAATCGTATAATTAAATATATTTATATATAAGGTATACCAAGAGGGGCAGCTCGCGCTATAGCTTAACTGGATAGCCTGACTGTAGCTTTTTCTGTGGGCCGGGTATTGCCACACACGCGCACACAGAGAAACATATTTGTGTGAATGCGATCATTAAGATTATTATTATGATTAACCCGCAGCCGCTTAACATGTCGTTCTCACTATTAACCCCCAGCGTATTTCTGCCTTCAGCTCCCGCAACCGCACTTGCTCTGGCCCGGGCATTGTCAACGTGTTTTGGGGTTCTACGTTGCCCGGTTCTAAGCTCGCTAGCAACTCTCATGTAAATCGAAGCGTCAATGCTTTGCTATAAAACGCGAACGCCTCAACAATTTTGCATTCAGTACGATCTGTAGACGGTTACTAAAACAACAAACACACAAAAAGCAACTCAAGTCAACTATATAACACGGTCTTCAGTTCACAACGAAAAATCAACAAAACTAAATAAATATATTAAACGTTAGTAACATTTTCTTCGAAAAATAAGTTTTACAATAATTCACTTTAAACCATAGTTAAAAAATAAAAAAGTCAACAGAAAAACTTAATTAAAATTTCTCGAAAGACTTCGCGAGTGTGTTGTTCAAAATAAATTATAAATACCTTAAAACAAACTGCACTTAGAAACAGTGAACCCCATCGAGAATAATAAAATGTTTAACTTTAGTAAGGTTTGCAGTTTACCATAGCATGGGCTTTATTTAACGTTAACGCCTAGTGGGTCTTTCAGTTTGGTTTATTCTCTGCAATGGCTTATAAAATCGCGGCCTAAGTTTAGCTTAACAGTTGGTTTTGGATTAGGTATTACCTATTAAAGGCTGTGGCGACTGCCTTCGCACTCGGACTCCGAGGATAGTTCCTCACTTAAAGCCCCGTCGGTGGTTTCCTTTTCATCATCACTGGGTGGATCGACAGCCGCTGCAAATGCTTCTAGGTCTGAGAGCGCTTCGTATGGCGTTGCGTAGTATTTCATGTGGATCTTATTGAAGCCATAGCTTAATAGACCATCACACCTTGTTAGGTAAAGGATTGCCTCTTGATTGATTTGAAATATGACCTCCATGGCAGCCTCCCTGAACCTGATCGCTTTAATAACCTTCCAGTCGTTTGTCGGCAAGTTCGGGTTGAATCTTGTTAGCAATTCGAGAATGTCATTGGACTCGGATGGCGTTTCCGGTAGCCAAGCTGTAGCCCAAGGACGCGATGGTATGTCCTGCACATCAATCACTTCCAACTGAGCTCCTGGGTATACTTCGCCAATCTTGGCAATCGCAGCTCTGTAAAGCAGGACAGATCGCTCATTGTCGCAGGCTATCAGCTTGGTAGTCCCTTGAAACCATCCGATGTCCATGCATGAGGGCGGCGGTCCTGGGTCATCTCGCAATACCTCTAGGGCAACGGCTGCCATAGCGGCCTGTATCCAGCACCATTGATTTCGAGGAATTTTGCCATCCGGCTGGCTGCTATCAATGACACCAATTATCTGTCGTCCTCTCGCCATTGCTGCAAAAGATCTTAAGGGGCTTTCACTAGATCTGGTGCGCTTTGCCGCGGAAGACTCGTCAGAATGATAGGGGCTTACATGGCCTGCAGACTCTACATCAGTTCTTCCGAGCTCTTCATGCTCTCGCGTTGTTGCCTTATTCCTAACTTCAACAATCAATGTCTCCAGTATGGGCTCAGCATCCACAGGCTGATGAGGGCTTACAGAGCCAACTTCAAAATTTGGCAACACAGCTCTTGCCCAAGCGATATCCTCTTGAATTTTAAAATAGTCCTGCCTCGACGAGGCCTGATCTTCAGTAATCGGTGCGTAAGCATTGCGTTTTAATATGCGAGTGGCTTTGGCTTTATCAAGTTTGGTAGCTTTTGCTGGATGGGGTCTGAAAAAATGTGCAGGTCTTCTGCTTACCAGTGGCGTTGGCGTTTCGCCGAACGTGCCGGATTGTGGCTGTATTTGCTGGACATTTTTTAAGCGGTTGCCCTTGATTGATCCAGCTCCTCTTCCTCCTCTTCCTCCTCTAGCGAAGCCAGTTGTATTCCTTGGTCTTTGATTTGGAGGACCGAACTCCCGTTTTGGATTTTGTTGATTTGAATTCATTGTATTTTGTTCCCACGAGTTGCGGAGAGAGAGACAGGTCGACCCGGGCAGAGATCCGCAATACCCGAGCAAGGCTGCATAGAACAGGCGATCGCCACTTGCCTGAGCTCTCCGTTTGAAACTGGGCTAGTTTTGTTGAACCTGGGCCCCCAGCCGGGTTGACTCTCGGCACGGGTCGACTGACACCTTAGTCCAGCCCAGGTGTGAGTGCGTGTAACTGTGTGCAGCTATGCTTCTAAGAAGGCGGCAGCACAAGCGCCTTGCCGATGCGATGCTTAGCCGGCACGCATCCGCTGACTGTCCGGGACTGCTTATTTGTGGGAAGTTGCACTTATTCGCAGCTAACCTCTGGTATGAGGCCGTTCGCTATCCGCAACCTGCGACCCGTCTGGTGGCCCCAGCTAGGCCCCTGTAGAGCCCAACTCACAAGCTCCACAGACCAGACACTCGTGAGCGTGCTCCCTATTTAATTTTATGGCCAATAATTAACACTGGAAATATATAATTAGATGCAAGACAGAAATATGAAGTCAAGCGAATTGCGACGCCAAAACTCATTCTACTTAGGGACTGTATAGCTTTCTTAACAACGTCTAGAATCAGCGACATGCATAATTATATGAATTCTATTGTTGGGGGCTGTACTTAAGCGAGACCTGGTAAATGCGCTTGATGCCAATCAAATCGTCAAGTATTATCAAATTAATAAAGCTACTGTGACGTCAATAAGCCTAATAATAGTCTAATGACTTTGCATAACCCATAATGAACGGGCATTAATAAAAGTGTTTAGCTGGTAGGCGGACAGACACAATTTATAGGCTTAATAGTGGTGTCAACATTAAACATGTTCGAAGAGTTGATGCCAAAGCTAATAATCTCTCTCTTTGCAGGGAAGTCTAAAATGGAGTCCAGAATCATTGCAGCCACCTTCTTGCTCTGCTGCATCGGCTACACATTCGCATCAAATATGCGTGAGTTTAATTAGCATTTATTATCATATGCATATATTTACCCTAACTCTATATTCAATCCTTTAGCGGACTATATCCAGATCTGCCATCGCCACGATCCAGAGCTCTCCAAATGCGTAAAGCAAAGTGTTCACAATTTGCGTCCATATTTGGGCAATGGCATCAAGGAAATCAATGTGCCCGCTCTGGAGCCACTTTACATTGGTGATCTGAATATACTAGAGGGTGGTTCTGGTGGCATCACAGTCAAGGCCAAGAAGTTGAGTGTCTACGGTGCGTCGAACTTTGAGATAACCAAAATGCGCGCCTCCATACAAAACAAACGCTTCGATTTTGAGCTGATATTGCCGCTACTGAAAGGAGAGGGTCAATATGATATTAATGGCAATATACTGGCGCTGCCCATCAAAGGCAACGGGCCATTCGTGGGCAACTTTACCAACTTTGTGGCCTACGTGCGCATCGCTTACGACATTAAGAACGTCAACGACGTTGATTATTTCGAGTTGAAGGAATTTGGTTTGAGGATACGCACGGGTAAGGGTCGTCTACGTCTGGAAAATCTCTTCAATGGCGACAAAGTATTGGGTGATGTGATCAATCAGACAATCAATGACAACTTCGAGTTATTCACGAATGAAGTGATAGCGCCCATTGCTCGTGCATTGGAGATCAAGTTCCGGGCAGTTGCCACCAAAATCCTGGAGAACTTTACCTACAATGAACTCTTTCCAGTTTAATGAAAAATGGCATGTTTAATGTTCTACATATATGCTATTACTTGTGATACAGTTAATTTCTCAATGTTAGTGTTAATATAATTCATAAATAAACTTTAATGGAGCACAAGTAAATTTGTTGGAAGTATAGTATTGTCTGTTCGACATACTTATCATTATCACTCAAAAAATATTAATAATTTATAGCTTATAGTTTATATATCACCCTTTATAAAAAATCTAATTTCATACTTGTTCTGCGCGTCTGTTTATTTTTGCCGCAATAATTGCCCTTGCAGTTTGTTTTGTTTTCTTCATCTTCAGGGAAATGTTAAATGGGAAGAATTAACATACTGTATAAGTTTACATTAGAAGGACAGTCATTAACAGCTAACGCTAAATAATTGGGGAAAATGTCAGAGCTTCCCTTTGAAGCAAAAAATTTATTTTAATAAATTATTGTAAGAACAGCTAGTTGCCTCTATTGCGGACACAAATTAATATATTAAAGGCATACAGAAAGGAAGAACTGTCACTAGTGTTAAGTGTGGAGTAAAGTTTTGTATTTAGTGGAGTACTTCTGTTAAGTGGACAGTATCGTGTTATCGTATCGCGATAGCAACAAGCTGGCAGCTCTTTTAGATATCGAGTATCGAGCATTACATAGTTGGGTATGTGCGAAGTATCGATACATTTTCTTACGCTGCTCAGTGCCCTCAATTAAAAATAAAATTACAAAATTTCACTGTTTCTGTTTATAAAAAATCGCATTGCTTAAACGTTCTAGTTAACATTTAACACAAGTGGTAGTAACGTTGTAGAACATGTCAACACCCGCACGCAGACGTCTTATGAGAGATTTTAAAAGGTAAGAAAAGTACACACACAACGACAGTTCTGGTATGAAATGGAGAAACGAGTCGACATATGTGTGTATGTATGCTCACACATACACACACAATCATTATTTATATACATATATATATATA